GAATCCCATAGCAACTGTACGTCACTTCAGATGTAAATTACAGACAATTCCTTCCAATGCCGTTTGAAAACTATAGAGCTGAATCTATAATTTGAGCAGATCCAAGCGGTGGAAGGGCTGAGAGAGGGAGAGGGAGAGAGAGAAAAAGCTACCCTAAATAATTGAAAGGAAACTGCCACGGGCCAAAACACTCCTCGCGCGCAGCGTTCGCTCGGGGTCCCTTTGTCCCCTTCCCTCGGGACGGGAGGTGCCACGTTCAGGTCGGAGAACACCGAGCAGGAGTTGGGCAGCTCGGGGCGTTCTGCAGATCCTGTCCCATTTTTGCTGATGAGGAGGAGACGTACGTGTGTGCCATGAGCTTCCTCTCTCCAGCCTCCTCTGATTCATTCGGTCGTGTCACCGACTCACGCTCCCGATGTCGTAAGAGCCTCAATTTTGACGGGCTACGGCATCGGCGAATTAATAGGACAGGAAAAAACAGGTTACAGGGGGAGGAGGAATGATGCAAAAAAAAGCTTCAAAGATAATTCAATGAATTTTGATTCGAAAGCCGGATTGTTCCTTCTCCTCCTGACACCTGCAAGCAGCTTTCAATTCCCAAGTCAGCATGAATACGCATTACCCTAAAGACCCTGTAATGACAGCACAGCCTTCATTTTGTGTTTCGTGCTTTGAACGCAGCAAGATGAAGGCATCTCCACCAACTGCTCCAAAAGGCAGGGCTGAGAAGTTCTTTCAATGAGCAGCAGACTGCGAGGGGTCAGGTTAACCCCGATCTGCACGGAACTGCTTCCCTCGCCGTCGGTTTGGGAGCAGCGCGGGGAAGGTGACTTGGGAAGCCACATCTATCAGACCGCGGCTCCAAAACTCAGCTCAGCTAGCTCAGCAACGGGGACAACGTGCTTTGGTTATCTCAGCTCAGACCCCAATAAATATTTGTGCATCTGCCAAAGTTCACCAGTGAATCAACCAGTGGCTTCAGTTCAAAACGCTGCGGGGTAGCAGGGGCAGGAGAGGAACAACAAGAGCAGGAGGTGCCGCTCAGCCGCATCACACACGGACCCAAGGGATGCTACAACCTACTTTACATCCTCCTAAAAACCACCATACAAGCCAGGACTAGGGCTGGGAGCTGAGGTGAGCCTGGCCTCCATCATCAGGTCGACACATCAAGCTCCAGGTAATAGGGAAAGGTGTGGAATTGTGTCACTTCGCTCGTTATCAAACGACCGCCCCTCACACAAGCTCCAGCCGCAAAGAGAGGTTTTAAATAACTAACGTGAAAGTTGGGAAATTCCCAGGTTAAGGGTTCCAGGAACAGCCCTAACGCTGTTTGCCTGCTGTCAGCACCTTCAGCACAAGAGAGACAGACCCACTGCCAAGGGGCATTCGGGGCTGCCATGTGGCACTTTCAACCGTGCACGAAGAACGGGACTTAACCAGAAACCCCTCGTGATGCTGCTAAAAAACAGGTGTGAACATCAAAGGATGAATGCTATGGATGGAGATGTATCTAAGGGTCTCAGGTGGGGATGGAGAAAATATCTTGTCCTCAAGGATGGGGTTCAGGATAAGGAACGAAAGGAGAAAACAAGGAAGGGCATAAGGAGTTCCCTTGTACCTCAACAGGGGCAGCAAGAAAGCTGGAGACAAACCAGAAGAGATGTGAAAAAGTCACAGAATTATCTAATCCCAGAGTGGTTTGGGTTGGAAGGACCTTAAAGCCCATCTTATTCCACCCCCTGCCATGAGCAGGGACACCTCCCACTACCCCAGATGGCTCCAAGCCCCGTCCAACCCGACCTTGGCCACGTCCTGCTTTTTTTGGGAAGGCCTAAACACACACACACACCTCCACAGGGAAGGCAGCAGCAAACTGAAGGTTGGTCTAGAATGACACTGCTGGGAGAACCCAGAGCTGTTTCAGGTGAACACACCGGACCAGTTCCATCTCACCAGTGGACAACCCGACCTGGGACACCCTTGCCACCGCTCGGCCCTGGGAGCTGAGCCGCCAGAGCTCGCGGTTTCACAACCCTGGGGAGGCAGTTTCAGGGACAGCAAGTTTCACAAGGGGCAGCTGGGTGACATCTCACACCGGCCCCTGTGAAGCCAGTGTTACCTCTTTTTTTTTTTTTAAGACTCCTATTTGTTTCAGCTGAGCTGCTGGAGAAAGAAACTCTTTTGGGGATTGGGGAAAAGCCAGAGCTCCTGTGGAGCTCCTCAGCAGCAGCTCCACATCCTCTGGACCACAGGAACAGCTGGAACACAAGAGCTGGGCATCAACAGCACGGAATCACAGAATGGTTGGGGTGGGGAGGGACCTCAAAGCTCTTCTCATTCCATCCCCTTCCACGAGCAGGGACACCTTCCACTAGATCAGGTTGCTCCAAGCCCCATCCAACACGTGGACCCACGACCGTTTTCCTCCCCAGGACGACACAGAGAACTCCAGCAGAGACCCAAGAAGAGAAATATCTGCTTCTCCACAGCCCTGCTGCCTGATCCACACATGGCGCAGCTCCACACCAAGCCTGCAACTGCTCTGGCACAAGGGACACTCCAAACAAATGGCAGCTCGCCCGGCTGGGTGATCATTTTTGGATTATGTAATCCCAATACATTATTATTAGACCAAGAACAAACTCAAGCAAGGAACTGAAGACATTTCCCTGCCCGTCCTGGCAGAGGGACAGAGTCTTGTCGCAGGAATCGCACGGACGTGCTACCCCGGCACCTGAAACAGGTCAGACTGCACATGTTGGACTCCAGGTAACACAAACAGCAGGATTGGATTCCAGGCCATTATCCCGTATTACACAACGCTGCCGTCAGTTCCACCGCGTTTCAGACCAAACCGAGCAGAAGGAGCCTGAGCGAATTTTTTCCATTTAACTGCCGAGGCCCAAAATTAAAAGCGGAGCTTGGGCTGGACAAACACACACTGCAAAGGTGTGTTGGGGGCGGTTCCTGGCATGGCCATGGCCGGGCGCTTCCGAGGAAGCCCAGACGTTCAACAAGCTGGAGAAACTGTTTATAGAACCCATGCAGAATGAGCATATGTGTTTAATAGCCCACTAATTGTTGCGTTATTCACTACACAAACAAGCAGCTCTTCTGCCCTTATCCCTTCCTGCCCAGTTAATCACCAGGAGCCTCTGAGTATTTCTCTTTTGGGTGGCGGTGAAGGAAGCAAAGTTCATTAGTGGCCGTTGGCCACCAAACAATCCAGAGCCCAGGCTTCATTTAGAAAATAAACACCACTATTCATGTGTGACACGGACTCGGAATAGCTTCCCAAAATATTTAATGCAGCTGCCTGCAGCCTTCCTACTCTCCCTCCCCCAAAAGAGAAGGCTTTCCTGATATATAGGCAAGAATTATATGGACCATTCATTTCATTTTCAGAAGAAAAAAGAAAGCCAATAATTCAGTCTACCCGAGTCACTTATTGCTACTGACTTCTCATAATGCTGATAAACACTCATTAAAATATAAGTTGATAAACCCTGGTACAGTCATTACCTTCGTCCTCATACAGAGATTGCCCAATTCAGTGATGTGATGTAACCAACACCCTAAATTAAAAATAGTGTTGTGACAACATATGGTTTATCCTACAGAAGCTGGCAGGCAGGACGCTCCTAATGACAAACGGGTTTAGGTTCCCAGCTTCCCCCAGCCAAGGTGAGGAGACAGAAATGCTCGTCGCAGGATCAGAGGCGGAAAGAAATAAAAATACAACACAATAAAATAAAATAAAATTGCACTGAAAAACGACAGTTTTGAAACCCCCCCTCCGGTCCATCCCAACGCCTGCCGCTGCCGCCGAGCACTGCCATCGTTCTTTATTTACATGACTAATAAGCTCTCTGGATGCATTTCAAGGAAATCGCTCGGAAAAGACAATCTGGAAATTTCAAAATACAGCCCCAGCCTGAACGTGCCTCCCTTCCTCCCCCTGCCCCCCTTCCCACCCGGGGCGGGGGGAGGGGGGCACAACCGGGTGCCCTGGGGAAGGGGCAGCAAAGGGAGGGACCCCCCACCCAGTCCGGGATGGCAGCACCGGGGGTGGGCCCCCCTTTCTCCCCCCCCTCTTCCCGGTCCTGGAAACCCACGTCACGTTCACCGGGGGAACGGGGAGGGCATCGACGTCCCTCCAACCCCCCCCCCTTCCCCAGACACTCAGGGGCACTGACGGCAGTTCCCGTCACCTCCCGGGGGGGGACACCGAGCGCCCACCCCCGCACCGACACCGCGGGGCGTGGGGGCCCCGTCACCCACCGGGGGGGGGCACATTGGGGTCCTCCTTTCGCCCACGGTGGGGGGCACATTGGGGTCGCCCCTTTAAGGACTAGAGGGACATATTGGGGACCCCCCCCTTTACCCACCGGGGGGGCACGTTGGGGTCCTCCTTTCACGCACGGGGGGGGGGGGCACATTGGGGTCCCCCCTTTACCCATCGCGGGGGGCACATTGGGGTCTCCCCAGGAGCTACCGGGAGGGGGGGGGGGGGCACACACCCCGACCCCTCCCGGTGCCCCTCAGGCACTTACCGGAGGATCCCGACCCCTCCTCCCCGGTTACCCACTGCGGGGCCCACTAAACGCCCATGGAGGGACACACACACACACACACGACACCGGGGGGCGTTCCGAGCCCCCTCCGGTCTCCCCCAACCTCCTGGCAGAGGGATCGTCCCCAACCCCCCCCTCCCGCCTTCCCCGGTCACTCACCGGGGTGGGGTGGGGGGGGGGCTGGGGCAGGAGCTCCCGCACCCCTTCAGCGTCTCCCACCACACACCCACCTCCCCCCACACCCCCGCGGGGGGCTCCCCTCCGGGGGCCTCGTGGCGACCGCCCGCCCTCTCCCTCTCCTTCTCCCCCCCCCCCCCCCCCCCCCCCCCCCCCCCCCCCCCCCCCCCCCCCCCCCCCCCCCCCCCCCCCCCCCGCCCGGGGCCCCGCCCCCCCCCCCCCCCCCCCCCCCGACCCCCCCCGTACCTTACAAGCCTGGTAGCTCTCGAAGGCGCGCAGGGCGCTCTCCGTGAGCTTGACGTGGAAGACGGAGACGCGGGTGCCGCGGCCGAGGCGGCCGCAGGACAGCCCGTACCCGCGCTCCGCCTGCAGCGCCGCCATCTTGGGACCGTCTCCCCCTCCGCGCCTGGGCCGCCGGGGCCGCCCGCCGCCGGCCACGCCCCCCCTTATGAATTATTCATGAGGCGCCCGCGCCGCCGGTTCCGCCCCTCGCGGGGCTCCTGTTGCTGGGGCGAGGCGGCGGGCAGCGCGCCCGCTCATTGGCTGGAGGGGAGGGAGGGCGCGGCGCCGGATTGGGCGGCGCGAAAGGGGGAGGCGGGGATATGTAAATGAGCGGGAGCGGGGCATGCTGGGGAGGGTGGTCTGGCACGCCGGAGCGGCGCGGGGAGGGGGAACTCCCGGCGTGGGACCCCCAGAGCGTGGACTCCCCCCTAGGAACACCCTGCGGGCTCCGAGCTCCCCCCTGAGCAGGATTTGGGGTCCCACACCTCCCCCAGGCCCAGCCCGTAGGCTCCATGTGCCCCCCACTCAAGCAGGACCAGTGGTCCCCTGGTTTCCCTCCCCCCTGTCCCCAGCAGGACCCCCAGGCAGAGATCTCTGTGCTCTCCAGGGCCAGGCATCCCAAGCCATGGGAGATGGGAGCTGCTCCCTCCCGCCTTACAGCTGTGTAGGGGCCATAAAAATTTCCCCCCCAAATTAAACAGAGCCATTCCCGGCCCCCACTGCAGCCACGAGCGTGTGGCAAGAGGGGGGACAGTGTAGATGAATGTCCCCTCTCACCCTGGCTGGCAATGAAGAGGCCTAGACATGAAGGAATTGTCCTTTATTTGGGAAGTTCACAGTCAGTTTGGGGTGGGAGGACAGTGCTACAAACCCCCCTGCGAGCAGAGCTGAGGCAGCAGCAGGGCAGGGAGGGACCCCCAAGAATTTGGACCCACAGGAGACAGCCCAGACAGGGGCTCTCCCGCGCTCCCCTCCTGCCATCCCTCCCGCCGCGGGTTTCTTTGGCTTCCTTTGGGCATTGCACGCTCTGGGGATGTGCTGGGGAGGGGGGTGGGAGCCTCTGGGAGGGCTGAGCCCCCCAGGACACGGGGAATGTCGCTGCACCTGCCCCTGGGCGCATCCACGTGGCTTCCCTTCCCTTCCCACCGCCGGCCCAGCTTCCTTCCACGTGCCTCCCCGAGGCGAGGGGGGCAGGACCCCCGGGATGGGGACAGCCACGGCGTACCGGTGAGTGGGAGCTCCCGCTCCCCCCGACGTGCTCAGGGCTGGGGGCTGAGCCCCCGATTGCCGAGAAGGTGCCTGGGGGTCTCCGCTCTGCCCGCGGCTCCATCCCCGCAGCCCGGGAATGTCGGGAGGGAGACCCGGCACCTCCGGCAGAGAAAGCATCCGTGTTCCTGCAGCTGCCGGTCCGCGGGAAGGGGTGGGGGAGCCCCTCGGCATAGAGAGAGACAGAGAGAGAGAGAGGCACGGCCCAGCGCTGGTCCCGTGCCCAGGGGCCGCCCCGGCGCCGCCCTCAGTTCCTCGCCGCGATGACCACGGACAAGGCCACGCCGCCCAGCGCAATGGCCGTCGCGCCGAAGAGCCACTTCCAGGGGATGGACTGTGGGAGGAGGGAGCCAGGGAGGTGAGGGGAGGCCGTGCCCGTGGCACGGGGAGGGACGGTGCCACCTCGCCTGCCCGCCCCTGGCTCCCGGCATCCCGCACGGGGCGTCCCAAAAAAGGCGAGCGCTGCGCCGGCACGTGGCCGGAGCGCCCGCGGGGACAGCGTGTGCCGCCGGCTGCCCAGCTGACAGCTCGGGCTCCTGAGCGCAGCAGCTGGGAGCAAAGTCCAGACCCTCCAGCTGGCACCGCCGGGATCCGGCGGACGGAGCCAGCACAGCCTGTTATCAGTGTTTTCCTGGCACGGCTCCCGGGGCACGGCCCCCCGTTCCCAGCGGGATCGCTGCCCGGACACAGCCCACCCACATGGGGTCACACCCGCAGCCCAGGAGCAGCACTGTGTCACCCCCCCACCCTGGGGGGGTCTGGGGGGCAATGACACATCCCCCGTGGATCCCCAATCCCCACCCCCCCGAGGATCCCAGCACCAGCCCTTACCCAGGGCAGCTTGTCTTTGCACTTCCTGGGGGTGCCGGAGGCGCTGGGATTCCCGAGCATCTTCCTGTACATCTCGGTCTCCACGTTCCTCTGGTCCGCGTGTTTCTTCACCAGCTTGGAGAGCTCAGCGTGGATGGTCTGGGGAGGAGAGCGAGGTGTTACCAGCCCTGCACCGTCCCTGCCTGTGGTGTCACCAAACAGCAGGTCCCACCAGCCCTGGGACGGGCAGGGACTTCGTGGAGGAGCTGAGAAGCAGCTGAGGGGGTGATGGCCTCATCCTGCCCCACTTTCCAGCGCCAAGGGGCTGCACCAGGCTGGAATGGGACACCCAGGCTGGCATGGGACACCCTGTGGGTCCGAGTGCACCTCTGTCCTTTTTGGCCACTCAAGCCAGGCAGCAGGGAGCAGAGCCCAGGGCTGATGCCAGACATCAGGGAATGGATGTTTATCCTTTAATCGAGACAGGAAACTGTCTGCCTTGCAGACTGACGTACCCGAGCTCTCCCACTTGCGTCTGGAAGCAGGCTGGGAAAGTGGGCTTAAACTCAGCCTGGTCTGAAGTGGGATTGCAGCAAGACCCAGAGCCAGTCTGTACTTGCCCAGCTGGGGCAGGAGAAAGCTCCGGGTCCTGTGTGGGGCTCCCAAAAAAGCAGCAGGAAGTGCCAGGGAGCCAAGCACGGCAGGGTGGCAGGAAGGACGTCGCGGTGGCACGGCCGTGCTGTGCCCTCTGCTGGGGGTTCCCCAGGCCGTGCCACGCTGGGAAATGCTGCCTCCAACGAGAGAATTCGGCTGTCTGGAGGACGGGAAGCTCCTGCTCAGAGCTCCCCAGGGCTGGAACATCAGTGCAGGACAAACACCGGCATCCCCCCCTGCTCCCCAGAGCGCGTGTTTTCCGAGGGGCCGGGAGAAGGGATGCCTACGACACCTGGAAGGTGTGACACCCTCAGAGAACCTGTTCCTTCGCCGGAGGCAGGTGGAGCCCAGCATTTCTGGAGTGCTTTCAGCACCGGTAGCCGTGGCCTGTGAGTCACCAGGGCTGTGACTGGAGAGGCCCCACCACTTCCCCGGAGCCCCGGCAGCAGCCGGAGAGCCCAGTAATTTGCTGTACTTGTGGTTTCACCGGTAACGTCACTGCCAGGCATTCGGATTTTCCAGCCCTCTCCAATTAAAAGCTCCATCGGAACAGGCTGGGGAGCAGCTGCCCTGCCCGGTGACGTGCTGGAGACGTACAGGGAACGGCTCCCGGTGCTGCTCCCTCTCCACCCTGGCCCTCGCTGGGAAGCGGAGGGTTTGGGATCCTGCTCGCCCTTCTGTGGGTGCTCTCAGGTCACACCCGTGGGTGCTGCTCGTGCCCCATCCTACCCCTGACCTTCAGGCACTGGGTCACGACACAAATCCTGAGGGTTTGGTGAAACTCCCAGAAAAGACATGGACACAACGACGGACCCGAGCCCACCTGGAGAGCCAAGCCCCCCTCGCTCGACCCCAAGCAGGCAGCACCCTAACCCTGTGCCTCCCCAGGCTCGCTCCTGCTGGCAGCCACTTCCTGGCACAGTTTTTTTGATTCCTCCCAAGCCTCCGGTCCTGCAGCTGATCATTAACTGACAGGAAATTCCTGACCCAGAGCTCGCCCTGCCCGGGCGCTGGACCGAGGTCTGGCTGCTCCCACCACCCAGTGAATCACACCCGGGGCTGCTGAGCGGGTTTGTGGGGACTCGGCTCTGCCCCACTTCCCGCAGCAGCGGCACGAGCTGCCAGAGCCACCCGGGGAAGCTGGAGCAGCCAGGACCATCATCCCCCGTGGATGGCTGGAGCAGGGATGGGTTGGCAGGGAGTCCTGCCAGTGCCAGGAGCAAAGGTCAGTGAGAGAATCTTGCAACACGGAGATAAAGGACCCGCCAGCCCAGCCACGCTTGGATGTCGCATTTCATAAGGGCATTGTCCCCCAGACTCTGGGGCTGTTCCCAGCCTTCCTTCCTGGAGCTGGGAACAGCCATGGGGGGCTTCAGCCTTCCACGGGGGACACCGAGGTTTGCAGGGACACAGACAAGAGAAGAGCACCCCGCAGACCCCCAGCTCAGGGGGATTATGGGCGGCACACACCTGCAGCCTACCTTGTTTGAAGGCTCCAGCTTCAACGCCGCCTTCAAGATGGGAATGGCCTCCCTGTATTCACCCTGCTGAGCCAGGACCTGGGGGGCAACACAGGGGTTGAGCAGCATGGCTGAGGTTTGTCCCCTGGTTGAGATCTGTCCCTCTGTCCCCTTGCTGAGGTCTGTCCCTTGGTCTCCTGTCACGCCACGGAGAAGAGACCCCAGCCTCACCTTTCCCTTTCGGAAGAGAGCCTTGATGTTCTCTGGCTGGTGCTCCAGCACCAGGTTACAGGACTTGAGTGCTGCCTTGTAATGGTCCAACTTCAGCTGCGAGGCCGCCAGGTTGTTGAGACATTTCACCTTCACGTCCAGCAGCTCGGCCTCCTCATCGGGGCTGAAATCCACTGCCGAGACCCCGGGGCCAGGTTAGGGCAAGACAGGAGCCCGGGGGGGAACCTCGCTGGGGTTTTGGGGGGGGAAAACAGGTACCTTTGGAGTTGGAGCCGATGATCCTGAGGGCGATGTCGTAGGAGTTGATGGCCAGCACGTAATCTGCCTGCTGGTAGAAGTAGTTGCCCCGCTCCCGCTTGCGGTTGGCCAGCTGGACCTTCTCCTTCCCGCTGAGCAGCTCCAGGTCCGGCGCATCCCGAGCCGCCAGCAGCTCCACCTCCAGCGTGAGGGATGCGTTGGGTGGGATGTCAGGGCTCCTGCACGGGGACAGGCACAAATCCATGGGCCCACTGTCACTCCCGGCAGCCCCACCAGACCCCGGGCTGAAATCAGAGCCAGGGAGGCATCACGGGGGCGAGGGAATGATGCACGTCTTTCCTCCCAGGCAGGACGTGGCAAGTGAGCCGGGTGTCCCTGAGGTTTTCCAGCTGGGCTGTCACCAGGAGAGCAGGGGCAGCTCCCACGGCCCTGTTTGGGACCACCCTGCTCACCTGCCCTGAGCGCCGTAGCAGTACTTGGCGTCCGACACGATCAAAGCCGTCTCCCCCATCTCCAGGAGCTGCACGCACAGGTCCAGAGCCTGCAGGGGACAACGTGGGAATCACAGAATGGTTTGGGTTGGAAGGGACCTTAAAGGCCACCCAGTTCCACCCCCTCAAAGCCCATCCACCCTCCACCAGACCAGGCTGCTCCAAGCCCAGCTAACTCGGCCTACGTCAGGGAGAGGAGCATGAAGGAAGGGCAGAGGGACCACTTTGGCCCACAAAACAGGACATCACTGACCCCATGCCCCCTGAGATGAGGCCCTGCCCCACAGGGTGCAAACACAGTGATGATGAAGCCAGAGGAGCCCCCTCCCAGCCCTGACCTGCAGGACGTCGCAGTCCCCCAGCGTGAAGGTGAGGGCAGGGTCCTCCTCCACCACGGTGCCATCCTCCAGCGTGGCCTTCAGGCGGATTGTCACGTCCTGGCCCTTTTGGGGACGGGTGTCCACCCCCTGGCCTGGCACCAGCGTCTTCTTCTTGAGCAACCCACTCCCTTGGCACAGAGAAGGACACGGTGAGGAGGGAAAAGCCCGACCCCTCCCCACCACCCTGCCCTGGATCCTGGCCGGCCCTCATGGCACCGAGAGCACGGGGGAAGTCCCCGAGGCCCCAGAACCGAGCACCCTCCCGCCCCCGGGGCTCTCACCCAAAACATCGAGCCACTCCTGGGGGTCCCCGGGCGCGTCCCCCCCGCCCCGCTCGGGGGGCTGCGCATCCTCCCGCGGCGGGGCCGGCGGCCGGGCCACGTCCTCCAGCGGGGGCAGCTCGCTCAGGTCATCATCATCATCCTCCTCCTCTTCCAGCACCTCGAAATCCTCCGCCGTGTCCAGCGGGGCCGCCTCAGCCGCCGGTGCCGGCTCGGTGCCGGTGCCCACCCGGTCCGGGGAGCCGCTCCCTGGTCCCTCCCCGCTGGACGCCATCGCGGCGGAGCAACCTGGAGCGGGGAGAGGGGACGGGGGTCGGTGGGGCCTTGCTCTTACCGGAGGGACACGGGGAGCGCCGGGACCCACCGGGAGCAGGGGATGCGCCAAGAGGGTCAGGGGAGAGGGCGGCGCGCCGGGGAAGGAATCGGGCCCGGGGGTGGGAGGAACGGGCCCGGTGGGTGTGGTGGGCGCGGTGGGATCGGGGGAGGGGGGGGTCGCGGCCCCGGTCCCCGTCCCGGCCCCGGGACCCCCCGCGCCCCCCGCCCGCCCCCACGTGACGGCCGCGCGCGCCCCCCGCCCGCTCCCACCTGACCCGCGGACCCGCGTCCGCCGGGCCCCGCCCCCGCGCTCCCATTGGCCCGGCCCGCCCACCGCGTGACGCCATTGGGCGGGGAGCACGCCCGTCAGCGCGGCCCGCCACCCCCTTAAAGGGGCCGCTACACGCGCGGCCGCCGCTTCCCCCCCGGCGGCGCGGGACGCGGGGTGGGGGGGGTGTCCCCGGTGTCCCGTCAGTCCCGCCACCGGTACCGGCGCAGCCCCGTGATGCCCGCGAGGGGCCTGACCCTCTCCCCCGCCGCTGTCCGGCACTTCCGTCCCTTAGCGGTGACGCCGCGGGGTCGCTCCCCCCACGTGACGCCGCGGCCGCCGCACCCGGAAGCGGCGCGGAGCGGCCGCCGGTGCCGCCCCCGGTGCCGCCGCCGCCCCGTCATGTGAGAGCGGCGGGACGGGCCCCCCCAGGTGCGCGGGGGGGGGGTCCAGGACGGGCTCAGCCCCGCGTGTCCCCGGGGGGAGCCCCGGGAACGGCGGCGCTACCGGGCGCGGGACGGGCGGAGACCCCCCGGTACCTCCCGGTACCGGCGTGCGGGGCCGCCCCGGGAGCGGGCAGGGCTGTAACTCTGGTGCTGGTTGCATGGCGAGGCGGAGGGGGGTAGCGCGGATGTGGAGGGGGGGGGGGTGTCTCCGTTACCGGGGGGTCGCGGGGGTCTCCCGACCCCCTCCCCCGGCTGAGCCGCCCCCCGCGATCCCGCAGGCCGCGATGGAGCCCACGGCCTCGCAGGTGTTCTGCGGGCGGGTGCTGGGCATGGTGAACGCCGAGGACGTGAACGCCATCATCCTGGCCCAGAAAAACATGTGAGTGACCGGGGAGGGGGAACCGGCCCCGGGGGCGGGGGGGGCACCAGGAGTCTCCCCCGGGAGAGGGGGGTAGTCTTTGCCGAGCTCCGTGTGCTTCCCCTCCTTCCCCTCCCCACCCCTCCAGGTTGGATCGGTTCGAGAAGACCAACGAGATGCTGCTCAACTTCAACAACCTGTCGAGTGTGAGGATGCAGCAGATGAACGAGCGGTTCCTGCACCACACCAGGACCCTGGTGGAGATGAAGAAGGACCTGGACAGCATCTTCCGAAGGATCCGGTGGGGAAGGGGCAGGAACGCGGCACGGCAGGGGCTGGGTGGGGTGTGGGGGTGTTAAAGCAGGGCACGAGTCGGAGTTTCAGGGGGATACTGGGAGTGGAATTTGTTGGAGAGGGGAGCTGTGGAGGCTGGAGCTTTGGGATTCCGCAGTTCTGGTCTGGCCAGGAGGGTCTGTGCTCCCTCAGGTGGTCGCAAAACCACTCAGAAACACACAATGTGGAGGGAGAGGGGATGGGGATGGTCATGGAGGGTGGGGAGGGAGCCCTGAGGAACCCCCTGGCGTTGTCCATAAATGCTGGAGAGTGGAGGGAGCTGGTGGGGCAGCTCAACCCTGGATCCCTCAGCTCCCCAGGGACTCAGCTCAATCTCTCCTCCCCAGGGCACTCAAAGGGAAGCTGGCGAAGCAGTACCCCGAGGCTTTCAGCAGTGAGTGACTCCTGATGTGTGAATTCATAAAATCATGGGACGGTTTGGGGCAGGAAGGGACCTTAAAGCCCATCCAGTGCCACCCTCTGCCATGGGCAGGGACACCTCCCACCATCCCAGGTTGTTCCAGCCTGGCCTTGGACACTTCCAGGGATGGGGCAGCCGCATCTTCTCTGGGAATTCCATCCCAGCCCCTCCCCACCCTCCCAGCCAAGAATTCCTTCCCAGTATCCCATCTAACCTTTACCTTGGCAGAGGGAAGCCATTCCCCCTTGTCCTGTCACTCCGTGCTCAGTTTTCCTCCTATGGGAAGAGTCCCTGTCACAAAGAACACACAAGGTGTCTCTTGGGAATGAGGAGAAGCCAGTGAGACCTCCAGGCACTTGCTGGCCCGTGGCTGCTGCTCTAAAAGACAAAAAAAACTCTTTCAAAACTCCTTGGTCCTATTAAATGCAGTTGAAAGAAGTTACAAACAGCCCCTAGTTTATGTGCTGGTGTGGTTTTGCTCGATTCCTGCTACCAGCAGACTCTGGGAATTGCTCTCCTGGGGCATCCCTTGCCACAGAACTAACGCCTGCCTCCTCCCTTTCCAGACATCCACGAATCCCCCATCCTGGAGGACGACGACGACTTCGACCCCGTCCCCAAGAGCACCACAACCACCATCGCTACCTCTGAGCAGAGCACGGAGTCCTGTGACACCAGCCCCGATGTCATCTCCCCCACCACGAGCCAGGATTTCGAGGATTTATCCCAGGGCCAGTACGACGTGCCGGCCGTGAACGGACAGAGTCTCACAGACGAGGACACGGCCAACGGCCTGGACTAGGAGGAGTCGGGTCCTGCCCCCAGAGAACTTTCTATCCTGTATTTATATTTGTGTGTTGCTTTTTTTTTTTTTTTTTTTTTGGGAAGAGGGAAGCGAAGGCTGGGAGAGAAGCCGAGGGGAGGAAGGCGCTGCCTGCCTTTCCTCCTCTAAACTGCCACTGAGAGGTGTAAACCCACCCCTCGCTTCGGGGGGAATCAGTAAATCCTGGGTTGGAAACGCCTCTTGTCCTTCCTCGTTTCTGCGCTCAGGAGAGCGGCCGAACCCCGCCAGCCACGTGGGTTTTGGTGCAGAAAAAGCCGTTTTGGGGCACAGCTGGTTGATTCTTTTTCCTTAAGGAACGCGTTCCCACCATCGCTCTGGCTCTCCCGGGGGTCTGTCCGTGGTGCTGGTGGACTCATGCTGTGTTTCACACCTGTGGGAAGAGCCAGAAGGGGGGGTTTCCCTTTGGCTCTCATAGCTCAGCCCCTCACGTGGTGCTGCAGGGCACCCCACAGGCGGACCCGAATCTGTTCCCTCCTGGGAAGATGCTGCCCAGGTCCTTCTTCATCTCCACCACTTTGGTGTGGTGGAGCTTGGGCCTGGGATCTCCATGGCCTGTGGGGGGCTGAGGGGAGAGTGGGGGGCTGGAGTGGGTTTAGGACTGCTCCTGGGGCTGTAGGGTCACTTGTGGGGCTGATCATGTGGCCGTGGGGTCTGTCCCAGGGTCAGTTTGGGGCTGGTCCCATGGCCACGGGGCCAGGCTGGGGTCCACGGGGTCAGTGTGGCCCTGGCCCTGGCGCCGTGGGGCTGGTTTGGGGCCAGTCCCGTGGCTGTGGGGTCGGTTTGGGGCAGGCCTTGGGGCCAGTCCCGTGGCTGTGGGGTCAGTGTGGGGCCAGTCTGGGGGCCACGGGGCCGGTGCCAGGGCCATGTGGTCGGTGCCGGCCCATCCCGGGCTGGTTTGGGGCCGGTCCGGGGCTGTGGTCGTGGGGTCGGTATGAGCCCGGTCCAGGGTCCGTGGGGCTGGTCCCGGGGCCACGTGGGACCGGCGGTACCGGGACAGGCAGTCCCGGTGTCCCCCCGGCAGGGACGGGGCGGTCCCGGTGCCACCCCCGGGGGGCGGTGCCGGTGTCCCCCGCTGTCACCGCCGGTAGTGACGCCGCGGCGGGTTCCGGTCCCGCCTCCCCTTTTCCCTTCGCAGCGAGGCCGCGGGTGCGCGCGGGGCGGCGGGCCCGGCGTGGGGAACGGGATCACGGGATGGGGAACGGGGCCCCGGGATGGGGAACGGGACCTCGGGATGGGGAACGGGACACCGGGATGGGGAACGGGACCTCGGGATGGGGAACGGGACCCCGGGATGGGGAACGGGGCCCAGGAGGGGGGAACGGGATCCCGGGATGCGGAACGGGGCCCGGGAGGGGGGAAAGGGATCCCGGGATGGGCCCCGGATTCCGCGAGGGGGGAACTGGGTCTCGTGGAGTGGGCTGGATCTCGGGATGTGGGCTGGATCCCAGGGTGAGGGACCAGGGGCTCAGGAATGGGGGTTCAGGGACTGGGAATGGGGTTTTTGAGGGGTCAGTCCCCGCTAGGGGTGGGCGCGGGGACACCGGGACCTCCGGGCCCAGCCAGGGCCTGACGCAGCCACCGCTCCCCCGCAGACAAAAACGGTGCCAAGATGCAGATCTTCGTGAAGACCCTGACGGGCAAAACCATCACCCTCGAGGTGGAGCCCAATGACACCATCGAGAACGTGAAGGCCAAAATCCAGGACAAGGAAGGTACCGGCAGGGCAGGGCCAAGGGAGCGGCAGGGCAGCCCCGTGGGGGTCCCCCAGTGCCCCCACCACGGTGATTCTCCTCCACAGGGATCCCCCCCGACCAGCAGCGCCTGATCTTCGCGGGGAAGCAGCTGGAGGATGGCCGCACCCTCGCTGACTACAACATCCAGAAAGGTGCTCCCTGGACCCCCATTTGGGTTTTTTTTTTTTTGGGGGGGGGGCTGTTTTTGGGGTGCCAGGTGCTCCCTGACCCTGCCATGACACTGATCTCTCCTTCCAGAGTCCACCCTTCACCTGGTGCTGCGCCTGCGGGGCGGAATCATCGAGCCCTCCCTGCGCCAGCTCGCCCAGAAGTACAACTGCGACAAGATGATCTGCCGCAAGTGCGTCCCCCTGGGTGTCCCCCTTCCCACAGCACCCTCTGCTCCCTGTCCCCCTCTCCAGGGACACGGGGCTGTGTCCTGACCTGTGTGTGTCTCCCCCCTCCCAGGTGCTACGCCCGCCTGCACCCCCGCGCCGTCAACTGCCGCAAGAAGAAGTGCGGGCACACCAACAACCTGCGCCCCAAGAAGAAGGTCAAGTAGAGCCACCGGCCCTGCCTGTGCTGACCAATAAAAGTGTTGCAGTGCTCAGCCCCGTTTTCTGGTGGTTTTTTACCAGGAGTTGTGTGGTTTTGAATAAAGGAGAGGGAGGGAAGCAGGGAGGGATGGAGGTGGCAGTGGTGGCGGTCGGTGCCTGCAGTCATGGACTGGACCATCACTGGGACACCACAGTCACTAGTGCAAGGTCCAGACTGGCACTGGGACCCCAAAAAAAACCGCCCTGCCCACCCACTGGGCCTGCCACTGTGTGTTACCAACACAGATGGGTGCTGGGATCACCCACATCCCTGTGTCTAGCTCGCTCCCCACTCCACTGGCCACACACCACAAGCCCCCAGACTCACATGTACCCAGACTGGCACTGGGACCCCCCTCCATGCACACGCAACACAGGTGGGCACCGGGACCCCCTGTCTATGGACCAGACCAAGACCCCACCACACACCCCTTGCCCATCCACCCGCTGCCACCCTGACCATGTGCACAGCACACAGACGAGCACCGGGACCCCACTAGAACCCCCTTCCCACCCACCGGGAACCCCCCGCACACGACACGGACCGGACCGGGGAGCGGGGAGGGGACAGCGGGGACCGGGCAGGGCACGGGCACTGCCTGCCGGTGCCTGCAGGGGGCGGTGGAACCGCGCTCCGCCCCGCGGGCCCCGGGCCTGCACCGCGCGGCCGCCACCGGGCCATGGTGAGCGGCACCGGGAGCGGGAGCGGGCGGGGAGCGGCCCCCGGGGCACGGCGAGGGGGGCTCCGGATGGGAGTGGGGGGTCCCGGTGCCCCTCTGCGTTGTGTGCGCATTGGTGTGGGGTCCCGGTGCGTGGGCAGCGGGACGGGGGGGTCCCGGTGCCGGCCCGGACCGGGCACGAGTGGACGGGGTGGTCCCGGTGCGGGAGCGGAGCGGTGTTGGGGGGGTCTCGGTGCCGGACCGGGCACACGCAGAAAGGGGGGCTCTTGGTGAGCGGGCAGCGAGGTGGAGGGGGGTCCCTGGACCGAGCCGGTCCACGCACGAGTGGAATGGGGGGTCCCGGTGCCGGTTGTATGGCGGGCACGTGTCCGGGGGGTCCCGGGGCATGGGCAGGGTGGTGGGAGGGGTGTCTCGATGCCCGCTGGTTTTTTGTGTGCAAGGCTGGGGATTCCCAGTGTGCGAGGAGCGGGATGGGGGGGGTTCCTGGCGCCAGAGCCCGTTACCGGGTCACCGGTGTCATCGTGTCCCCAACTGCCACCGTCCCCTTGTGTCCCGCAGACGGGCGAGGCCGTGCAGGCTCTGCTGCAGCGGCTGCAGGTGCTCCAGGGAGAGAGGGTCGAAACCTACCGGCTCTTCGAGGAGTGAGTACCGGCACCACCGCGGGGATGGGCACACGGGGGGGGCGGCACCCACCGGAGTGGGCGGGGGGCATGCGGGAAACCTCCCGCGGCAAGGGATCCCCAGCAAGGAACCGAATCCCCGGCAAAAGGAACCAAATCCCCCATCCTGATTATTTTGCATCCCTCTGGGACCTGGCTGATGAGCTCCAGCTGGCAGCAGGACGCTGTGCTGGACACCTGAATCCTGTTTTAGCGTCCAAGAGGAGACGATGGGCTTCACGAGTGAAAAGGATAAAAAAAAAAAAAAACAACACCCCTTCCAAAAAAAAAAAAAAAAAAAGGAGTTTCCAAGTCCCGTGCGGGGGGTGAGGCTGCCTGGTCACGGGGGAGCTGCCAAATCCAGGCAGGAGGAGAAGGCAGGAGAGCCCTCCCGGCGCTGCCCGTGGCGGGTGGCAAAAGGAGCTTTGGCAGAACGAGGATCTGGGGGTGTTGCCATCCCGGTGGCCCCCCAAATGTGGTGACAGCGGCTTTCCCCACCCCTCACCTGTCCGCAGGGGCCACCAGGCGTACCTGAGCAGTGCCCCCCACTATGACTTCCCGCGGTACCGGCAGCTGGTGCACGAGGTCACCGTGGCCTTCAGCGGCATCTCCCGGGAGGTGCTGGGCATCGCCGGGCGCCTGCGGGACGAGCTGGGCCGCCCCGACCTGGCCCAGCACCTGGCCCGGCTCCAGGAACGGGAGCAGGAGAAGCTGCAGCTGGTGGGTGCCAGGCTGGGGGGGGGGGAATGGGGGGTCCCTGGGGTGTGTTTGGGGGTGTCTCTCGGCTCCCATGGTGTCCCCTCCTGCAGACGGCGCAGCTCCAGCTGGCCCGGCAGCAGGCGCAGGACCAGCCCGAGGTGGACGTCCATCAGCAGGAGGTGCAGGAGCTCAAGCACAAGTAGGTGGTGGCCCCACCGCTGTCCCCCTTCGTTTTGGGGTGGCAGCAGCCCCCCACCCCAGCCCAGGAGCCCTGCAGCCATCTCCCTTCTCCCCCTGCCCTGGGGTGGCAACATCCCCCCAGCCCACGGAATCACACGATGTCCCGAGCCGGGAGGGACCCACGCGGGTCGTGGAGTCCGGCCCAGGAGCCCCTTCCCTGCGCTTCCCCTCCCTCCCTGTGGCCCAGGGGGGCCCAGATGGTGCCTTCGGGGTCTGGCGGTGCTGCGTGGCCGCGTCCCCTCGGCCTCCCCGGGCTGAGTGTTTCATAAACAGCGCGGGGAAGGCGAGGGCGGCCCACATAATACGCTCCATATGGGCTTTATTTATAGTTTCCATCCGCTCTCGTAGGCTAATTAAAACCATTGAGGCAATCAGCGAAATTCTCCAGGACCTCAAGTACGATTCGGAAGAGGTTGAGTGATGGGTGTCCCCGTGGGAACGGCTGGAGGGGCCGGCTGGTGGAACGGGGGCCCCGCTCGCCCCCCACCCGCTCCCAGTGCAGCCGCCCAGGCACCTTGGCAAGGTGGGCATCGTCCTCTCGACGCCTTTTCTTGAGCACGGGCTGGAAGGGGTGGAGAAACCCCCTCCTGGGAGAAGTGGGGTGCCCCTAAATCCCGAGTATCCCTCAGCAGAGGGGTCTGGCACAGGGCTGGTTCCCCTCCACGGGGCTGTGCCAAAGGAAAACCACGACCTGCAGTGTCTTGCTTTGACTCCCATCGAGGTGGGCACTGCCTTTGCTGCCTGCTGGAGGCCCACAGGCAGCAGCCCCCCCCCCCAAACCCCATCTTGGGGATCAGCTGTGCCCCCAACCCCACAGCAGCGCTGGTGCTCCGTGGGTGCCTTTTCTACGGTCATCCAAAATAAACCTGTCCCTGTGGAACTGGGCTGAGTGGTGTGATCTGAAGGGGTCACATGGTCCCCCCTGCCCCAGTGCCACCCCTTCCAGCTTGGCTGGGTCCCCTGGGAGCCCCGGGATGGGGTGACAAGGGCCACGGGCCCCATTTGGCTGCCCGCTGCATCCCCGTCCCTGCGCAGCGCTGCCGCTCCGCTGACGCAGACCCCGGTGGGGTTTCAGAGGTTTATTGGCATTAAGCTTAAATCTGTTCCTAATTGACTGAAATGGAACCAAAATAAGGCTGGTTTGAATCAAAATTGGAGCAGGCACTGGGCAAACCCCAGCAGCCTCCAATCAGCCCGCGCGGCTCCCCGCGGACGGAGCCCTTCCCGTGCACCCACACGCGGATCCCCGGGGGGAAAACAGCCAAAATCGCTTCCCCGGGGGGCACTGCGGCGAGGGTGGGGGTCACCCGGGGAGCCCCCACTGCCCCTTTCATCCCAGAGGCTGCTCTGGCTGGCGGTTGAGGAGCAAAGTCCCCGTGTCCCCCCTGGCCTGGCAAGGCCGGGGGTTCCCCTCGCTGCCACGGGGCGCGGGGGGCCGCGGTTTGGGGCCAGCGGCACGCGAGGGGCTCCCGGGGCTGGGCCAGCCCGGCCCCCCAACCTCACCCCAGCCCGGCCCCCAGGGCTGCGGGGCCGTGCTGCGCCCCGGCCGCCTCCCTGCTCCCCCACGGCGGGGCCGGGGCGGGCGCGGGTGGTCCCGGGTGGGCGCCGGGCGCCCCGTCCCATCCTGCCGGCGCTCGGTCCCCCGCGGGCTACAACTTATCGCCGGGAAGAACCTGCGGAGAGGAGCAGAGCCCCGCGTCGCCCCGGGGTCGGCGTCACCCCCCAGCATCCCTGGGGTGTGTATGGGGGGGTCACCCCACATCCCCCACCTCCCCGTGCCCACCCAGCCGGGGGAGGGGGGGAAGAAGTGCGAAAAGGCTCCTTACCTACCTGGTTGCGTGTTTTGTGGGATTTCTGCAGCCACACGCGCCACTGGTCGTAGAGCTTGATGCCGAGGTTGGAGCAGCCGTAGGCGTGTTTCTTCACCCACCCGAAGAACTGCTTCAGCTCCCGCCGCAGCGTCGTGTTTTGCTCCCCGCCTTTGGGGTCGCAGCCCCCCGCCCCTCGCTCTGCGGGGACAAGGGGGTCAGTGTGGGGACAAGGGGGGTCAGTGTGGGGACAAGGGGGTCAGCACCGCACGGTGGGGGGGGGATACGCCTCAACCTCCCCCTCGTGAGTAACGAGGGGCGAGAGCAAACCGAGCTGGTTTTGGCTCCCAGCTCTGAATTGGCTCCTTTGCAAGAAATCCAGGTGCTGGGCACGGAGCGGGGAGGGGCCCCCCTGCACGTCCTGGGGGGAGCACAGCGCCATGGGCACCCCCCAGAGCGGTGCTGGCGGCACTCACCGCTGCGTGGGGTGGAGGCGGCCGTGGGATTGCTCCAGTCGCTCCAGATCCCGGCTTTCTTGGAGCCGTAGATGCCGAAGGGATTACAGCGCACCTGGACGAAGTAGACGGTGCCGGGGCGCAGGCCGGCCAGCCGGCAGGAGGTCTGGTTGCCCACGTCATCCACCACCTGGGGAGGGAGGAGATGTGAGAAAACCCGCACCAGGTCGGCGATCCCGCACCGGCACCGGCGATGCCGACCCACCTTCCACTCCGAGCTGTCCTCCACCCGGTACTGGATCTGGTACTTGGCTTGGAAGAGGAAATCCTTGAGGGCCGGCGGGGAGCTCCAGCGCACGCTCAGCTGGTCCTCCAGGTCGCCCACCCGGCTGACGTGCACGTCCGACGGCGGGTCGGTGGTGACTGCGGGGACGGGGCAGCGCCGCGGGGCCGCCGGGGTTAAGGAGCCGCAGATGGAAAACCCACCCGCAGCAAGCAGCCTAATTCGATTAGGAGCAATTCCGCTCACATATCGCCCATTTCCTGCTGGCCCACCCTAAACCCCCCACCTCCCCCAATCCCTGAGCCCTCCCGCTCCCCGCGGGGTCACGGGTGACGCGGTGACGCGCCCAGCCTGGCTCACCCACGTCGAGGATGTCCAGCATGACGACGTCGGACACGGCCACCCCCAGCCGGTTGGACGCCTCCACCCAGATCTCGTAGGGCGTGAAGAGGGCCAGGTCCTTGGGGATGTGGCAGGAGTAGGGCCCGGCTGTGTGATACTCCTGGCAGGTGTTGTCCCGGCCGTACCACCTGCGGGCAGGGCGTGAGAGCCGGTACCGGCACCACTGGGAGCTGTGGGTGCCCACCCCATCCCCCATGACTCCTTCGCCTGCCGCTCCACACTGCTGGAATTGTGTTACTGGTGCCAACTGGTGCCAACTCAACCAGGGCCTCACCCTCCTCCTCCTCCTGCCCAGCACTGTGAGGCCCAAAAAACTCCTCACACCAGCACCACCCCCCAAAAACAGGGGCCAGCCAGGAGGCCTCGGGCACTGCATTGCCTATTTCCCATTAAATCCCAAGCAGCATTTTTAACAATAACAGGAACGAAGGCGAACACACACCTGAGCTTGTACTTGAGGGTGTAGTTGGTGTGCAGGAAGGTCTCTCCTTCTGTCCCCGGCGCCCACTTGCAGGTCAGGTCCTTCATGTTTTTGGACCAGCAAGTGATGTTGACCGGTTTCTCTGGGGGTACTGGGAGAGAAAAAAAAAACCAAACACAAAAATAAGAAGTTCCAGAGCTGGTTTTTTTGGTGTTTTTTTTTTTTTTCTCCCCAGCCACAGCAACCCAAAAACCAAACCCGAGCCGCATTCCCAGCTAAGCCTCTGTATTCCTGGGACTGTAGCGACCCAAAAAACAAACCCCGGGCCGCATTCCCCTTTCGGATTCCGTGTTCCCGGGACGCCGCATCGCCCTTTAAAAATAGCCCCGGAGATAAAATCTTACGGTTATTGATTCGGACAAGCGCGTTTTAACCGAGGCTTTGCCGAAACCGGCCCTCTCTCTACTTTCTCTCTTTTTCTCTCTCTCAGGGTGGGGGAGCCTCGGCCCCGAGCGGCTCCCGGCGACCCCTTTTTTTGGCGAGACCCAAGGGGGGCGTCCCGGGGAGCCCCCCGCCGCCCCCGATGCCGAGCGCGCCCAACGTACGTCCAACGTAAAGGCAGGAGCCGGCCAAGATGCCGCCGTCTCTGCTGTGGCACACCAGGTTGTCCCCCGACTGCTGCCTGGAGCCGTTGAGGCGGGCGAGGGCCACGCTGAGCGTGGAGGGCCCGAGGGTGGCGTAGGAGGCGGCGGGAAGGCGCCGCCCGTTCAGGGTCCAGTACAGGTCCTCGGCTTTCAGCGGAAAGTCCGGGCTGACCGTGCACGTGGCGACCAGCGAGGAGCCGATCAGCAGGGTGGGGTCTTGGGGGGAAATCACGGCGGGGTCTGCAGCCGGAGAGACAGGGAAGGGGGGGAAATGTCAGTTATGGGGGGGGGGGCCTGTGTTGGTTAAATGTGGCTTTTTGGGTGCCCTTTTGTGCCTATTTTAGATAATTTAGGGGTCTTTGTTACCTATTTTAGGTAATTTAAGGAGGTTTGTGTGTCTTCTGTAGCCATTTAAATGCGTTTCGTACCAATATAAATGCATTTTATACCTATTTAAATACATTCTCGATCTATTTCAATGCATTGTTTATCTATTTTACATTTAGTTAGATCATCACGTATCTGGTTTATATAGCTTTTAACCATTGCATATCTTTCTTGGATCAATTCAAACCATGGCTTATCTACTTCAGATCAATTTGAACCATCACATATCTCTCTTACATCAATTCAAACCATTGCTTATCTATTTCAGATCAATTTAAATCACTGCTTATCTCTTTTATATCGATTTAAATCATCGCATCTCTATTTTACATCGATTTAAATGCGTTTATATCTATTTTACATCGATGTAAAGATGTTTATTTCATTACATTTGTGTTGAAGGTTCCAAATTTGTATCCGTTTTGTATTGGTTGAAATACATTTTATGTCTGTTCTTTGTCTATGCAAGTTTATATCTATTTTATATCTGAAGGCATCTGATATCTCTTTTATATCTATTTAAATAGCTTTTATATCTATTCTATATCCAAACACACATCTAAATACACATCCATTCTTATCTATTTAAATACACTTTATATCTACTTTGATACCCAAATACGTTTCCTATCTACCTAAACACTTTTAATATCTATTTTAATCTCTAAATCTATTTTCTGCCTTTCTAAGCGCTTTCTATACCTGTTTTAAGCCTTTTTTTTTTTTTTTTTTTCCTTCCCCGGGGCTGGGGCAGGGCTGGGTTGCGGCTTTGGAAGTTTGTCGGGACAAAAAGATTGTAAAAAAAAAAAAAAAAGAAGATGGAAAATCGAAGGGTTTTGGGGGGGGTTTTTCCCCTCCTCTCCTCCTGCTTTCCCAAGGGCCACTGAGGGCCGGGAACCGCTTCATCCCACCTCATCCCACCAAATCCCCTGGCCACGGGAACACCCCCCACCCCCGGTTTATCCCGGGGCTGCCCCACCACGAGGCTTCCAAAGGCTTCCAGGGGCTCCCCCGGCCGCGCTCCGGGGTGTTCCGTGTCCGTCAGCCTTATCGGCTCCATCCGCACGCGCCGGGCTAATAATCCCAAATTACCTCCCGGAAAGTGCCGCGACCTCCCCCTCCCCTCCGACCTCCCGGCCCCGATCGGCTTTCAGCGCCCGCCGCCCGCCCCGGCTCCCACCCGGCATTCCAGGACCCTTGTTGTGCCGCGGGGATCCCAAGGAGGGGTCCCCGCCGGCTCCCACCCGGCACAATCCCCGCTCCGACAGCCTCGTTAAGCCCCAGATGCTTAATTAGGGGTTCCCGCCGTGTTTGGGGGGGGGAGGCCGGTGGGGTGGGAGGAAGGGGATCCAGGGGGAAAAACGTCTGGGAGATGGTGGTGTGGGGTGCCCCAACCATCCGTGGGGTGGTGCTGGATACTCTGGGGTACTCCAAACATCCATGGATTGGTGCCAGGTACTCCAAACATCCATGGATTGGT